CTCCCAGTAATGTGTCTGAGTGTATAACAGAGCTCCACAGCAATAATACTCCCAGTAATGTGTCTGAGTGTATAACAGGGCTCCACAACAATAATACTCCCAGTAATGTGTCTGAGTGTATAACAGAGCTCCACAGCAATAATACTCCCAGTAATGTGTCTGAGTGTATAACAGAGCTCCACAGCAATAATACTCCCAGTAATGTGTCTGAGTGTATAACAGAGCTCCAAAGCAATAATACTCCCAGTAATGTGTCTGAGTGTATAACAGAGCTCCACAGCAGTAATACTCCCAGTAATGTGTCTGGGTGTATAACAGAGCTCCACAGTAATAATACTCCCAGTAATGTGCCTGAGTGTATAACAGAGCTCCACAGCAATAATACTCCCAGTAATGTGTCTGAGTGTATAACGGAGCTCCACAGTAATAATACTCCCAGTAATGTGTCTGAGTGTATAACAGAGCCCCACAGCAATAATACTCCCAGTAATGTGTCTGAGTGTATAACAGAGCTCCACAGCAATAATACTCCCAGTAATGTGTCTGGGTGTATAACAGAACTCCACAGCAATAATACTCCCAGTAATGTGTCTGAGTGTATAACAGAGCTCCACAGCAATAATACTCCCAGTAATGTGTCTGAGTGTATAACAGAGCTTTGCAACAATAATACTCCCAGTAATGTGTCTGAGTGTATAACAGAGCTCCACAGTAATAATACTCCCGGTAATGTGTCTGAGTGTATAACAGAGCTCCACAGTAATAATACTCCCAGTAATGTGTCTGAGTGTATAACAGAGCTTCACAACAATAATACTCCCAGTAATGTGTCTGAGTGTATAACAGAACTCCACAGCAATAATACTCCCAGTAATGTGTCTGAGTGTATAACAGAACTACACAGCAATAATACTCCCAGTAATGTGTCTGAGTGTATAACAGAGCTCCACAGCAATAATACTCCTAGTAATGTGTCTGAGTGTATCACAGAGCTCCACAGCAATAATACTCTCAGTAATGTGTCTGAGTGTATAACAGAGCTCCACAGCAATAATACTCCTAGTAATGTGTCTGAGTGTATCACAGAGCTTCACAACAATAATACTCCCAGTAATGTGTCTGAGTGTATCACAGAGCTCCACAGCAATAATACTCCCAGTAATGTGTCTGAGTGTATAACAGGCTCCACAGCAATAATACTCCCAGTAATGTGCCTGAGTGTATAACAGAGCTCCACAGTAATAATACTCCCAGTAATGTGTCTGAGTGTATAACAGAGCTCCACAGTAATAATACTCCCAATAATGTGTCTGAGTATATCACAGAGCTACACAGCAATAATACTCCCAGTAATGTGTCTGAGTGTATAACAGAGCTCCACAGCAATAATACTCCCAGTAATGTGTCTGAGTGTATAACAGAGCTCCACAGCAATAATACTCCCAGTAATGGATCTTTGTGTATAATAGAGCTCCACAGCAATAATACTCCCAGTAATGTGTCTGAGTGTATAACAGAGCTCCACAGCAATAATACTCCCAGTAATGTGTCTGAGTGTATAATAGAGCTCCACAGCAATAATACTCCCAGTAATGTGTCTGAGTGTATAACAGAGCTCCACAGCAATAATACTCCCAGTAATGTGTCAGAATGTATAACAGAGCTCCACAGCAATAATATTCCCAGTAATGTGTCTGAGAGTATAACAGAGCTCCACAGCAATAATACTCCCAGTAATGTGTCAGAATGTATAACAGAGCTCCACAGTAATAATACTCCCAGTAATGTGTCTGAGTGTATAACAGAGCTCCACAGCAATAATACTCCCAGTAATGTGTCTGAGTGTATAACAGAGCTCCACAGCAATAATACTCCCAGTAATCGGTCTTTAAACTACAATAAATATGTTTAGAAATCAGTCTGTGTAAATAAGATACATTATTCTTTTAAATTACATTTTAGTTCTATAAATTATTAGTAAGTCACCTAGAACCCCTGGCCACACCCCTAAAATGAAAGTGCCTCAATGTTAGAATTGTGGTATGCTTTCGTATGCTTGCTTATACTCTACAATGTAGTTGCTGATATAATTCTATAAGGACAGGGCCTTTGCATGCTGATGTTGTACAGGGCAGCGGATGTCCTTGCTCTGAGCTGTGCTGTGTCAATAAAGAGATGATGTTTAACTGCATACTACAATCCTTGTACACAGAGAGCTCTAAAGCAACACATATCACTCATTAAAGGAATATGCACGTTTCTGGGCTTAGTTATTTGTACATTTAAATAGTTAACACCTACATACATGTTTACCATACAGTACTGCTTGGTTACTATGTCCAGGACTGGGTGACTATATGACTATGTCCAGGACTGGGTGACTATATAGCGCACTGGGTGATTACTGGGAATAACAAAGGTTAAACCAAACAAATGCAGAGAGTCAGTGCCATAATCACCGTGGCAGAGAGTCAGTGCCCTAATCAGCATGGCAGAGAGTCAGTGCCCTAATCAGCGTTACAGAGAGTCAGTGTCCTATTCAGCGTTGCAGAGAGTCAGTTTGCTAATCACCGTGGCAGAGAGTCAGTGCCCTAATCAGCATGGCAGAAAGTTAGTCTGCTAATCAGCGTTGCAGAAAGTCAGTGCCCTAATCAGCGTGGCAGAGAGTCAGTGCCCTAATCAGCATGGCAGAGAGTCAGTGCCCTAATCAGCATTGCAGAGACTCAGTCTGCTAATCAGTGTGGCAGAGAGTCAGTGCCCTAATCAGCATGGCAGAGAGTCAGTCTGCTAATCAGCGTGGCAGAGAGTCAGTGCCCTAATCAGCGTGGCAGAGAATCAGTGCCCTAATCAGCGTGGCAGAGAGTCAGTGCCCTAATCAGCATGGCAAAGAGTCAGTCTGCTTATCAGCGTGGCAGAGAGTCAGTGCCCTAATCAGCATGGCAGAGAGTCAGTCTGCTAATCAGCGTGGCAGAGAGTCAGTGCCCCAATCAGCATGGCAGAGTCAGTGCCCTAATCAGAGTGGCAGAGAGTCAGTCTGCTAATCAGCATGGCAGAGAGTCAGTGCCCTAATTAGCGTGGCAGAGAGTCAGTGCCCTAATCAGCGTTGCAGAGAGTCAGTCTGCTAATCAGCGTGGCAGAGTCAGTGCCCTAATCAGCGTGGCAGAGAGTCAGTCTGCTAATCAGCGTGGCATAGAGTCGGTGCCCTAAACAGCGTGGCAGAGAGTCAGTGCCCTAATCAGCATGGCAGAGAGTCAGTGCCCTAATCAGCGTGGCAGAGAGTCAGTCTGCTAATCAGCATGGCAGAGAGTAGGTGCCCTAATCAGCATTGCAGAGAGTCAGTCTGCTAATCAGCATGGCAGAGAGTAGGTGCCCTAATCAGCATTGCAGAGAGTCAGTCTGCTAATCAGCATGGCAGAGAGTAGGTGCCCTAATCAGCGTGGCAGAGCGTCAGTGCCCTAATCAGCATGGCAGAGAGTAGGTGCCCTAATCAGCATTGCAGAGAGTCAGTCTGCTAATCAGCATGACAGAGAGTAGGTGCCCTAATCAGCATGGCAGAGAGTCAGTGCCCTAATCAGCATGGCAGAGAGTAGGTGCCCTAATCAGCATGGCAGAGAGTCAGTCTGCTAATCAGCATGGCAGAGAGTCAGTCTGCTAATCAGCGTGGCAGAGAATCCAAATGGCTAAATTGAGGTTAAACTAGTAGGGGGTTAGAAGGATTTTGGTTTACTTTAGGGACTGTCCCTCCTAAATAGGGAAACTTGGGAGGTATGACACTGGATCTACTTTAATAACTTAGCTGCAGAGCCGAGTAAAGCCCTGACCCTGAAACCTGAGTGAGTGACCTCGAGCTTTCAATACATTCATACCAGCCCGGGTTCAAATCATTATTATGTTATTATAATTCACAGGGTTAACCACATCCCATGGAACTACAGGAAATATTTCATGGGGATGATGCCATCTGTGGATTGAAATGTTAGATACCATAACCTGCCTGTTAAAAAGGCACAGGGATTCTGTAATATATTCAGATATTTGTGATTTCTACCATTTAATTGCATTGTCTGAGGCTGAACTAAAAATGTAATGAAACAAAGAATGTGGATTTCTCCCATTTACCATTTTCTTGTAACTGG